CATATATATATATATATATATATATATATATATATATATATATGTATATATTTATTTATATTTCTTTTTTTTTCGGTCTTTTTCTTCAACATGAAATTATTGTTGTATAAAATAAATTTACAAGAATATGAAATTTAATTTCTACGAACCAATGAACTATTTATGAGTTGGTATGCACAGTATGTATAAGCAAATATGTATTGTGCGTAAACCGCGTTTACTGAGGAGGATTGAAGTAATCCCAATGATGATAATACGTTACAGTTCGTGTGCTACTGAAGTAATATATCAACAAGCCTGCGATGAAAAGTAACAGAGCGCATATCGCCAGTTCCACTTCTCTGACCTTCTCCACCGTATCGTCGGTGCTCAGCGTGGATGCCAAATACCTTACAAAGTGCCTCATGGCTTTTATACCGGCCATGCGGAGAGCACGGAGGAGCTGTTGCATAGTGTCTATAACACCGGGCTCCTCGGCGTCGCGTTGACTCGTCGGTGTTTCACTTCGGGAGAAGAACTGGGTTGGAACCTCGGAGGCTGGGAAAGCAATGAAGTGTGTCGCGCTGAGAGGGAAGGAGGGTACTGGTGATTGAGAGGACTCCCTTTGTCCAGTCTGGGAGAGTCGGTCTATATCAGAAGAATGGGAAATGACTGCACGCTGCGGCTGAGCGGCGCATTTTGGGACATTGTGTTGCGCATCGGAAGAATAGGAAATGACGGCACGCTGTGGTCGAGCGTCCATAGAGATACCGTGTCCCGGTGTCGGATCGGGTGTGTCGGGAGTCACGCTGATGACGGGTGGCAATGAGCGAACCGGTGACGCGGTTTGTCGTGTGATACCTCTGGCAGGCGAGGGGGATCTAGATCTCGACTTGCGAGGAAGTTGTTCTTTGCTATCGGACACGTCGTCCTTGTCGCTGCCACGGAGACACGTAGATGTTGCGGTCGATTCAGTAGCAGTAGTAGTAGTAATAGTAGTAGTAGTAGTAGTGCTAGTAGAAGTAGTAGTAGTCTGGTCAGAGCTACTCGGAGGTTCGGCCGTGCGTTCCGGCGACACTCTCAATTCGGAGGACCGGGTCGTAGGCACGTCCGACGACAGAAGGAACGAGGCACGAGATTCGTCCACTACATGGGAGTCCGACGTGGTTTGCGAACTCAAAGTAAGGGGGTGTTCGGAATCTAAAATTCGTAATGACTTATCTTGAGTATCTTGAGTAATAACTGTAAGCGGATGTGTGATGGATTCGTCTTTACCCGTTGACTCTAATTGATCTATCGCAAGCGTCTGTAAGAGAAGGGATTCTGAGCTTGCGAGTGGAAGGATAACTGAGGGGGTGTGTGATACTTCTTTGTCCTTCATATCTAATACATCAGTTTTAACAACCTTTTGGTCCTCGCCAGTCTCGAGCATCTCCTCATCTTCCACGGATGGCAGTTCGACGTGCATCGCTTCGACGGTCTCGTCACCCGGTGCCTCCTCTCCCACTTGCTGCGAGTGCTCTTGCGAAGATCGCCGTTCCCTGCTTGTCGCCGTGTGACTGTCGTCTTCTGACGTGGGAATGTCGGTTACTTGTCGACTTGCGGGCTCCTCTCTCTCGCTCTCGTGGTATCTTTCCCGCGCCTGAGAAGTCGCCACGGTCTCCAAGTGACTCCTGATGGCTATCAGTTCCCTGATGATGGACGGCGACAAGCTCTGCTCCATGGTGCTACCGCCTCTCAATTCCGACGCCGCCATCACCATCGCGTCCACCTCGGACGCCACGATTTTGTGCGCCTCGATCTGCGACACGCTTAATCGATCGACTTTCAGATCGCCGACCTCGAGACTGCTGATCCTCAACGGTTCGTCGGAGAACAGAGCCGATCTGATGACTCGTGATCGCAGTTCTTCCTCTTCTCTGCGTTCCTCCAAATGCGGCGCCGACATATGTCTGTTTGCCTGTTCAGTTTCCCTCGTCGGCGACAATGACGTCAAAGACATCGTGTCGTATGCCATTCTACCGATTTCATCTTCGCCTTCCTCCTCTTCCTGCTCTTGGTTCAGGATTTGCGATATCAATGGTAACGGTGGTACCGGAGGTATCGGTGTATCAGTTCTGGACGGACTTGGTATACGTTCCATCGACAACACCATCACTTGCGAGCCCGACCTGGAGGGCGTCATTACGAGCTTTGCCTGTGTGATTTCCTCCTCGATCACCATGTCGTCAGGCAACGGATCGGTCTGCGTAGCCGCTGTCGACTCAGCGATCGCAAATTCGAACGGGGTGCGAGGTCGTTCGACGATTGAATGATCCTTCCTCGCTCTGGGTGGTCTTGGTGGTGCCGGCAATGGACGACCCTGGATCTTGTTGAGCATCTCACCGCTGCGAAGTATATCTCTGTGTTCCAATTCATCAATCTCCAAATCGATCTCGATGTACGGTGTAAATTCTGCAGCTATCAAGAGCGTCGGAGTAGTAGTGGCTGTGATCGTCTCCGACGTGATTGTGTCGCTGATCGTGTCCGGCCTCGACCTGCCTCGACTGGCGGGTCCTAAGGTACTGTATGCTCTTTGAGGTCGCTTGGGCGGGATCGGTCTCGGCGCGGTAGCGAATTTGTCGCGTTTTCTTCGAGGTGGCGGTGGTCTCGGCGGTTTTTCTCGCTTCTCCACGATCGCGTAGCCGGAAAGGTCGTGCGTCGAGCTGATCTCGTCCGGTGGTATGTCCTCCTCCACGTAGCCCGCCTCCGGTAAAGACTCCGCGCCGTGCGACGTTCTGTCCTCGTCGGCGGCGACTGATGTCGTCCTCGAACGGGATCTCCTCTTCGGCGGCACCGGCGTCGGTTCCACGACGTTTCTCTGGCCGACCAGTTTCTCGACGTCTTCTCGATCCGCAAGCGCGACGACAAAGTCGCCGTCAGCGACCAACTGTTGCTGCTCCGTCGACGACTGTCGTGATCGCGAACGTCTCATCGGTGTAATCGGCTTCTTGGACGCTGCGCTTTCGACTTCCCATTCACGATGACCGTTACAGATCGACGCGACGGCGCCATTCCTCCGGTTCACTATTGTCTCCCGATGCGAACGCTTTCTGCGCATCGGCACGATCGGTGGTGTAGACAGGAAAGGAGTCGACAACGACTCCATGGTAGGCACAATGGTGGCGGGCGTTGAGGGTAACAGGATGGACGTCTCCATCGGCGGCTGCGACTGACTGCGTAAGGACGACCTGGACTTCCTCCGCGCTGGCTTCACCACGACTATATCGTCCAGCGGCTCTTGCTCCTGAGGTTCCAGCTGAATCGCCCCTTCTGCCTGGTACACTACGCGATGTCTGGAGTCACTTCTGGTGCGCTCACGGAAGACTTCGTCAACGAGCGACGCCTCTCGACTGCGTCGAGCCGCGGCGGAGCTGCGTTCCCTCTTTGGTCTAGCGGGCGGCACGACTTCCTTCATTGTCTCCGTGGAGTCTTCCTCTCTGCGTTTCCTCAAGGATCGCATTCTTATGGGACGTTGGGGAGGAATAGGTGGCATTTCTTCCTCCTGCAAGGCGCTCGCGATCTCCGCCCTGAGAGCATCACGGATCTCGTCGGGAAGATAATTACCCAGATTCATGTCGTCTTGACTGATGCCGCTCGCTCTCAGGAAGAACTCGTCGGAGTCGATCTCTTCGATGATTCCTCGGCGTCTACGGTCGTAGGAGCTGCCGCTGGACTGTTGCTGTTCCCGATCGGAATGCGCCGAGGAGGGCTCGTGTTCCTCCAAGTCCTCTAACTCGTGCTCTTCTTCTTCTTCGGACGCCATTTTGCGCGGTCGGAATCGCCTTGGATCCACCGCCATGAACGCTCCTTCGTACTCCGTTTCTTCCCGAGCTCGCGGCATGTCCTCGTCTAGTGACCGCGACCTTGGGATCGATCTGAATTTCTCCTCGAACACCATCTGCTCATCCGCGTGCCAATCGTCCTGTGCTACGTGATCCTCTTCTTCGACCTCGACCTCGTCTCGATGTTTTGCTTCTTCGTCGCCATACATCCTTGGGTCCTCTTCCATCGGTTCTTCGTGTTCATAGGATTCCTCCTCCTTCCTTCTCGCGGCCTTGTGGGATCTCCTTGGGGGTGGCTGACGATCCGATACTTCCTGCGAGGACTCTTGCTCATAGTCCATGTATTGTATCTCCTCTTCGTCGTAGTGTTGCTCCCGTTTCCTCGTGTCTTCCCACGGGATGGCGCGAGCCGCCGCCATTATCTCCTCTTCCGTTCTGGCGGACAACCTCGGCTCCTGAGGCTCTTCTATCGAAGTCTGATGCCACGGGGGTGAGCTGTCACTCGCAGTCGCCTCTGTACGATCCTGAGAAGATGAGTTGCCGAAGTGACGAGCCCACCTAGCGCCTAAGGGTTTCCCCTTCCGCGCGCGAGGGAAAGTCGCGCTCTCCGCGGACTGTGTTCTGGAGTCTTTGGGCGAGGATGTCGCGTACTCGCCGCGTTTCTTGGATTTTTTATCGAAGATACGCGGATAAGTGGCGAAGTCGAAGATGTTGCGCTTGGAGCCGACAGTGGACTCGGTCGAGCGTTGCTTCTGTTCGCGCAGGGAAGACGGCCGTTTGACGCGCGCGAGAGCGTCGGCTAAGCGGATGCTGGGCTTCTTGATGGTAAACTTAGACTTGTCCGGCAGGTGGAAGCGCGATCTGTCCGGCAAGTTGAACTTTGGTCTCTCTGGAAGATGAAACTTGGGTTTGTCGGGCAAGCTGAACTTGGGCCGATCCGGCAAGCTAAATTTCGTCTTCTCAGAAATGGATGTTCTTATCCGGTCTATTCGACTCGGCCTTTTCTCCAACGTGCGGGACTTGTCCGACTTGCCAGCGCCACTGGTCGATGATCTTGTCGTCTTGTCGAGAGATTTTTTCTGCCGTTTTGGGAAGGTGAACGTGGGTCGCTGGAGACCCCGGAGCCGAGAGCGCAGCTTGCCAGCTTGGTTCTTCAGGCGTTGCGGTAAACCACGTGCGCCCTGCCGAAGTGGCAGCTCCTCTATCGTCGACGAGTCTACCTGCAAATAGCGGGAACGCTTCTGTGAGAGATCGGGGCTTGCAAGCATAGCAGTGAACATTCTCATAATTTTGGAAGATAATGAATCTTTTTAGTTTTTCTAATTTTTTTGCGATAGAAACTCTCGCTTAACTCTCTTTCATGGGAATTCGAACTCGCACTTGGAATCGTGAAGTGAGCGTTGTCGAGTTCACGAAAATAGACGGGAAATTCTGTTTTGTCGGACGAGTGAACGTAAATCGCCGTGTCACTCTTGACGGCTCAAGTAAATACGGACTTCTTCTCTGCGATCTGAGACTTACGTTCTCATTGAAAAATATTAGCAAGGTCGGGGGATGATTAATACTTTCAGAGTACGCTACGCTGATATGTATTTTTGGTCGCGATTGCGCAACGGATGGAAAAGCTCGAGTTTTCTGGAACGTGACGCGAACACGATTGCACAATCGGACAGTGACACGCTCGCGTTTGAGTCCTTTTTTACGTGCAGATTTCGCTAAATATAGTCGCCATTCTTCGGCGCGAGTAACGAACCGAAGACAACAAGAACAACTCTCGCGAGTCTCATGACTCGCTTTTAAATTCCGGGGCTCTCCTATCGATTCGCGTGCGTTAGTTAGCCGGCTATATTTAATCCCCTTTTATTTTATCCGTTTGCACTCGCGAATAATTCGCGTTCGCGACGGAGAGTCGCGCGGCTGAATGCTCCGAGTTAACCTTTTGCACTCGTGACAATTTGAACCCAGCGCGAAGTCGATTAGTAACAACATTTTTTCGATGTGTCGAATACAAAAGAGATGTGGACATAACTTTGCAATTTTGTAAAATTTCGTTGAGATTTTTTATGTGTATTTCTTAACAATATTGTAAATAATCTTCTAAAAATATAAATAAACAAATAAAATATTTAGACTGGATGTTTTTGAAAGTCAAAATAATTAACACACTTGATTAAAGTAAGTTAAGTAAAAGAAGGTAAAGTAAGAATATAAGGCAAAAATTAAACTTTTACTTGTACTCTTATCTTAAGAGAGAGATAGAGAAGGAGAAAGAATTAAATTTTCCCTTGTTTTCTAATTAAGAATTAAGTTTTTACTTAATCCTACTATATCTTTATAATTAGAAAATAATTACAAATTAAACAAAAAGTAATACAAATCTCTCTCTCAAGCTAAAAATATAAGATAAGAATTAAGTAGGAACTTTAGCTGCGACAATTGAAAGCAGACATACCAGCGCAAGGGGTTAAAATAGGTTCGCTCCGTCTACTGAATCGGTGGACATGACATTATTTACCTGATTGGTGTTGATCTCGCCGTCCGTCCTGGATTCGGTTTGGGGAGCGGGCGCGTCGAGGAATCGCTCCTCGAGCCTCTCTTGGAGTTGCTGCGCGGTCGGCTCCTGCTCCTCGGAGGTGTCGCCGCAGGTCTCGCCGAGCTGCCGGGCCTCCATCGCGCTGTCCTCAATCTTGCCGTCCAGCGGTAGCACCACGTCGCCGTCCAAGATCAGCTCGGCCGGCAGCCGAGCCCGGTCGTCGATGCTGTCGTCGCTGTCGGCGACGGGCATCACATCCGTGTCGGTGATCCGCACGACCGGCGCCATCGCCGGATGCGGCAGCGACGGCAGCGGAGGTGCGATCGGTTCGTATTCGTGCTCACTGTAGCGAGAATTCATGTTCGCCGTGAGACCTCTTTTGTGTCGGGCTCGACCCAGTTCGATCGGCCACCACGTGGTCTCCCCGGCGGCACTCTTTCCAAGTGCTCCGAGTGCACTTTTCTTTCTCTATTTTTCGTGTCTGCCATAAATCAGAATTTCACAAGGTTGCCGCGCGAAACGAACGTCCGGGAGAGATCACGGCGGAGCATTGTCAATCCTCTCGCGTGTCTTTCGGAGACGTCTATCAGACTGTCGCGTCCCTTTGGGATGCAGCTTGCGACTACCGCGTTTCTATTGTCTGTAATCGCTGCGAACGAGCAGCGGGGAGAATGTCCCGATGCTTCGACGACACATCGAGACGCTGATAACGCGACTGACACGATTAGAAACGACTGTTTTCAGTGTCTGTTATTAAGTCTGTTATTAAGTCGAGCTGATGCGGTGTAACGTCCTGACGATCCCCTCCAACGTTTGTCCAGCTCCGTTCCAGGAGGGTTGGCGCGGTGCTCGCGCGTACACCGGTGCGCGTGGACGCGGCTCGCAGACGCCCGTACGTACGCACGTACGGGCAACTGGACTTGGCAGATTTGGGAGCTGACCGAGCTTTCTATCTATAGCCAGCCGGGCGAACCTTAAATAGCCGCGGCGATCCGCGACGTGGTTTCGTACGGTGTATGTAACCTATACTCTATGTATAAGCAATGTCGGTGATGGAAACGCGGACAGGTCGAACGGACGATCTCGCAGAGGGAGAGAAAAAGAGAAAGAAAGAAAGAACCACCTTGCGTTATCAGTCAGCCACTCGAGGGTGGCTGAACTGAAATGTTTTCACGCCGGTTCTGACGTGTGTCAGCCGTGAGAAATGCGTGTCGTTCGAGTCGTGTGCGAGATACTGACCTGCAGCGGACCGCAGGTGGCTGCTGCATCGTCCTGGATGACGGTCTGACGAGGAGAGCACGTCGTTCCGGCAGAAGCGAGTCGCTGTGGTAGTACTGACAGCCGCAACGGACCTCACGTCCGAGGCTGGACGTCGACGACGCCCGCGAAGTGCGTCCTCGTTGCTCCGGCTCCATCCCCACCCCCGTGGGAGTCACGGAGGTCCCGCGCTAATCCACCTCCAGTCCTCCTCTTCCTCTGCCTGCCTGTCTGCCTGTCTACCTGATCCGACGTTGAGAACGCAGCGACGACGACGACGACTTCGTTTCGTCGCTCTTCCCGTGTTCGACACACAGCGGTGACCTTCTCGTTGACGTCGTCCACGAGACGCTCTTCACCTCTCGATCGGAGGGACGAGGGCGGAAGAGAAAGAGGGATGAGCAGAGAGATAGAGACAGAGACAGGGAGGAAAAAAGAGAGAGAAAGAGAGGGAGAGACAGAGTGGAGAGAGGAGGAGGCTGAGCGGTCGCTAGAGCAGCCTGCTACAGCGGCTCCTAGACGACTCTCCGTAGCCTCGGCTGTCCACCGCGAGTGCGACCGGAGCAGACATCGAATTATTTATAGCAACCCCGGTATTCGACGGGCCGCGACATCACTGCCTCGAGAATGCCCGAGCCGAGATCACCTGGTGCATCGCACGGCGCGCCGAGGATAGATTGTCGCGAATCGTCGCGGCGGATCGTACTGTGCGATTAACCGAGGGCGACGTAATACGGGATAATTAGGAAGGTGTTTCTCCGACAGTTTCGTATGAGGCTGTTGGATCGAAGGAAAGAAAGAGATAAAGAAAGAGAGAGAAAGAGAGAGAGAAGGAGGGAGAGAGAGAAAGAGAGAATCATTGGCAGTTGTAGTTTCGCGATTGGCCAAGTACCAAAGGCAGTCGTGGTATTCTTCAATGTGTTCAACAACGTTTGCATCGGTTTTCTCAATTATTGGCAAAGGTTGGCGCGAGTTGACGCGGCATGGCGTTCCCGACTACCTACTGTCTCGCGAATTCACTCTCTTCAAGTAAATTAGTAAAAATAGTTTCTGATTGAATTAGTAAAGGGATTTCACCGATGATCAGTGAGCGTTCACTGATTTTCAGTGAAAACACCCCCACTTTGCCGTTCCGTCTTATTTTCCACGAATTTCCATCAGTGGAAGTGAGACTTCACTGCAAAATCTGCAATACACAAATTCGTCATATATTATGCCAAATTTAAGTTTCTATCTTTGTGACAATGAAATTAACAGCACATCTCATGCGCCTTGCGATCACATTTTCTGCGTTCACAAAATGCACCGATAATGGAAATAGTCATCGCTACTGATTGATGCAAGATTTTACTGGTTGCACTGCTGTACTCACAACTGAGCTATCAGTCACGAGTGCAGCGCACAAGATCACTCTCGAATTCGCGCGGCAGCTCTCTCTCTAGAATCGGACAGGCGAAATTTCTCAGAGACCAACAGACCCGACGTGCCGCTAACGCAGCGCGAAATTAAGGTGCAGCTGCGATATTCCGCGATACGTTAGCGTCACTTATCGGCGTCTTAATTGTCGAAGCAGGTTGTTCGCGCGCGCTGCAGCGGTGCACATTTCATCGCGGAATCGTCGTAACGACTGCAACTAGCCGCGGTTAATGCGGCTGAAGCCCATCAGCCGGATACGAACTCGTTAATTAAAATTGATATCTTGACAATTCGCTTGCAAAATCGACGGGATAGACCGTATTAAGGGAGAGACGCGGTCCCGATCGTACGCGACAATGCCGTCGGATTCGGCGATTGTGTCACACCTTGGCACGCGGCGCCAGGCGTCGCAAGGCACAATGCTTTTCTAAGTGATACCTAAGTGTCTGCCGACTTTGTTCAATACGCCTACTCGGTCAATGCAAAAATAATTCGCAGAGGAGCGCGCAGCTGCGCCGCATTGTTCTCGAAAGTCGCATCGAAATTGTGGGACACAACACTCGATGTTCCGCCGTATACAGCTAGGCATACGCTGAGCGAACGAATGGCGAACTTTCGTTTTTTTTTGCAATTGACAAAAGAGGAAAATAAGTTTGTGCCTGAACGAGCAGGACGTCTTATTCGCATTCGGGCCAACTCGCACGATGCGGTTTGTCAAAGAAAGTTTGTGCGCGAGGTGGAGCGCGAATGTATCGCACAGTCGCTGTTCGTTTGTCATTCATTCGCTTAGTGTGTACCTACTTAACACACGTACAGGGTGTTCCAGCGCGTCTTCCCCGTGGGAATTGTGGAGAATCGATGACGATTGAATTTTCAATCAATCATTCAATGTAATTTGCTTATCCTCGTGCGTGGCTATGCAATCCCCTTTATAATTCATTCACTGTTGCGTGACTCGCGACGTTTTTATGGCGAAACGATCGAATTCAAATTAATTCGAAAGTGACGGCAGGAACTGCGATAGCTCCGGAATACCTTGTGCCTGCGTGGGTGCGTGCGTTGTGCATGTGTGCGTACGTGCGTGCGTGTATGTGTATACATATATATGTATAAATCTCTCATACAAACATTATATATAGACAGCATCCTCTCCTCGATACCCGTAGCGTATTATTCAGGATGTTCCAGACGTACCACGTGTCGCTTAGTAATAGACAACAATAAACTGGGAAGATGTATGGAGGTGATGTTTTTTGAGCTAGAAGCGACCGGGGATCAAAAGATTGCGAATCGAGTCTTGACGCGAGTGCGAGTGAACGACAGAATATCGTTTCGCTCTTCTCTCTTTGAGAGAGCTAGCTTCGCGCGAGAGGTTGCTCCGCGATGGACTTTAGCTCGGTCGACGAGCGACGTTCGAGATGCGTACAGAACGAAGAAACCGGACGAGAGTGGACGCCAGAGCGCGAGATACGAAAAAATCGGCGAGCGATTGCGCGCGACTGAGAAGTGGTGTACGGTAGGTCTGAAACGCTCTATACTTTGCAATATTTTATAAAATATATAGAATATACAGAGCTTGTATAAATATATAATACACTGTGTGTTAAAACGCTACAAGTTCTATAACGACGTTCACGCGAGGCTCGACTCGCAACGTGCGGGCCGCTCAAGTTTCCGCGAGTCGAGCGTCGTTTGCGAGGGAGAGATCGCATGTATCGTACAAGTGTGAGCACACAGTTAATCCCTTCGATTATAAATCCCACCGGGTCGCGTGGTCGCGCGCGGCCGTCGTCTATACCGGCGAGTCGTCATCCATGCGGTCAACGCGTCAAGCTTCTCGCAGCTTCTCGCCGCTCACGGTCCGCCGCTCCACTTTTTACTTATAAATAAACGAGCGGAGGAGAAGAGGAGACGCGGTGCAGCGCGCGCGTGGGTGACGCTCTTGAGCCGATCGCAAGCGACGCGGGCGACGACGATGATCGGTGGGATGACCACGATGGTGCTGATGATGTGGATGGCGATGATGGCGATGATGACGATGATGACGATGACGATGATGATGATGATGCATCGTCTACCTTGAATCACGCAGAGTAGCACAGAAACGGAGAGAGTCGATTGTTTTAGCCGTTCGTTCTTTACGGTGCGTATCACGAGATGGAGAATGCAAATATATTCGAGGGGGATGTGTTTGTTATTCGTATGAAAATTATATTGCCACTCCATATATCCTATGTTACAAGTTCAAGCGAACGCATTTGTCTTGTTTTTTTTCAGTTTTTTTCTTTTTTCAAGTGTGTAACTCGAAGAACCGAGAAAGCAGTTTATCTTTATATCTTACATATCAGTCCGAAAGCGTTGGTGCGCGCGGTACACTCGCTCGTACGCGGATCGAATTATAAGAGAGGGACTCTCGTGTCGCGTTGTCGGACGGAGGTGAGTCCCGTCGTATATGTATATATATATCATATATTTATATATATATATATATATATATATATTTATATATTTATATTATGTATATATGTATATGTTGTGGTATGCGAAATCGGTAGAGCGATATCGGTGCTTCGGTGCCGTAGCGTCGATAGCGTTCGCGTACCACCCCCGCGGTGTCTTCCGAGTCCCCCTTCGCGTCGAACCCGGTCGGGGGAGGGGGGACCGCGAGTACACGGACGCGTCCGCACACGCGCACGCGGGCGCGATCTCGAGTACGCGATTACTGCGAAGACGCGGTTTAATGAGGTCTCAGTGTAACGATTTTATTGTTGCAATTGTAATTACAGTAATCGTAATCGTAATCGTGGTTGTGAGATGGCAACAAGGACGTCGTGTCGGGGGTCGGGCAGGGAAGATGCCTGGGTCAGGCGAGCTCGTTGCTGTCCGAGAAGTGGTCGCGGGCGTCGAGACAGACGGCCAGGTCGAGCACCAGATGATGAAGGACCGGGTGCTCGAGGACCTCCGATTCCGGCAGAGGCGGGTAACTGCGCGGTCTCTGCTGCCGGCCCCTGAACGAACGGTGCATGTTCAGCACCACGTAGCAGAACACGTAGCGCACCAGCAACAGCCGCAGGAAATCGTCACCGAAGAACTGCAGCACGCTGGTCTCTACGGATGTGCGCTGCTTAGGACGATTGTGGACGGAGATTGGCACGTGTCACGTGTTTAGATCGTCGGGAACGGCTCGATTCGTGGAGGAGGATGCTTGTCATATCAGTCGAGTTCTGTTCGACTCGTGACTTGTCAAAGCGGGTGCATATATTTTTTTCTTTTTATAGATCTCTCCTTGTGTCTTTCTCTCTTTCTTTCTCTCTCTTTTTCTCTTTTTCTCTCTCTCTCTCTCTCTCTCTCTCTCTCTCTCTCCCTCCCTCCCTTTCTTTCTTTCTTTATTTGTCCCGACGAGACGTTTGCTTCCTGAACTCTCATCGTCCTCCACTACCGGGCCCGCTCGTCCGCTTCCGCTTAACCGAAGCCCCAAGGAGCAACGGGGCGAGTGTCCAAGTATCCTTACCACATCGGGAACGCGTGACGAGCTGACTGGCCTCGTTGAGGAATCGCTCGATGTAACGCTGGCAGCGCTCCCAATGATGCACGGCGAGGCTCCCGACGTTGCATATAAGGCAAAAGGCGGCAAGGGGGGCGTGAAGAAAGAGGGTGAACAGGCTACCACCGTGTCGCAGGTCGCGCAGGGTCGGTGGCGTGTCCTGCGGCGACATGAGCACCATCAAAGGCTGGCCGAAGTAGCGCGGTATCTCCTGGAACACGAAGCTGTTGTCCGAGTCGACGACGACGAAGAGAGGCTTCCTGGTGAAGGGGTACAGGTCGCCCGGGTAGAGACAGTGCGGCTCCTTGCTGCCGGCCGGCCTCTTCCCGTGCTCCGGCTCCCTCTTGCTGCACGTGGACACGCCGCCCAGGTCGTACCCCACTGCAAGATCGCGATTTTATCAACATCGTGCAATTCTGCGCTCGCCGATCCGTCGAATGTCAGGCAACGTTGAGGGAAATCCGCGCGAGAGACTCGGCGCCATACGGCCCGCTCTCTCCTCGACTTTATCTTCCTCTTCCCCGACGTTATGCATTATACGCGTTATACGATACATTGCGACGATACATTGACACCGCGTACTGAAATTTTCAAACGGTTCTTGGCACAAATGAGTGACTTATTTATGGATCCTGACTTCCCTCAATGTTGCCATATAATTCAATCGCACGACGCAAGGGTTATTTTCATTCCCAAGCCGAAGTGAGAGAGCTCGCTCGCGGGATTTTCGCGCACGATTTCCTCCGCGATGTCTCCATCAATAGACAATACCGTCGCGGAATGCACTCCGCATTATTTACACTGCCAATTATTGTAATCGATAGAGCCGTGCTTCCTAATACATTGATATTGATTGCAAGGCCACACTCGGCTACGATTCTTTATTACGATATCGGCCTTGATGCCTCGGAGAACGCTACTCTATTTTACTTTAAAGACCCCTCTTGCGACCATAACGTGTAGCCTTGGTCTAGACCGCGTGCACCGATGAAGATTTCTTTTCTTTCCTCTCTATCTCTCTCCTTCCTTTTTCTTTTCTTTTTTTAACAGCTTCTCTCTAGGGATCTATTTTTTAACAGATATTCTCAAGGTAACGATGGGATTCGCCGGAAGATCCGCGGCGCGGGAATATCCTTCGAGCGAACCGAGACGATCTGCACGGCGTGTGTGGGTGTATGTGCGTGTGTGTGTGTGTGTGTGTGTATGTGAACGCAATGTAAAGGATCTCCTCACACCAGATCGAGTGCGCGCTTCGTACACGTGTACGAAGCACGTGGCCAACACGGCTCTCTCTACGACGTCGCGCGCGCGGATTATCGAATGTCGCGGCTGTTCCAATTGAGAGAACACGGGGAACCCAGCCCCATCTCCCACGATGATATCGGCTAAAGTACCGGATTACCAATCGGGTAAACTGACCGAAAAGACCGACACGCGTACACCTTCGGCTTCATCAAGCGGGTGATGCGCTTTAACTCCACATGACTGTACAACCGTCCTGCTCTCTCTCTCTCTCTCTCCCTCTCTCTCCCTCTCTCTCTCTCTCTCTCTCTCTCTCTCTCGCGTATTGGTAATAGTGATGCCACTTTTGGGTGACCGCTACCGTTTGTGCTGACGATCGACTTAAACGGAGAACTGGCCACGGACTCTCTGAGACGGGCGCGAGATTGTAGGGCGTGAAATGCGGGACTCTCCGATATATCGGGATTGATAGCGCTCAAGCGCGATACCGCGCGAATAATGCCCGCGATGGGCAGTCAGCAACGGTTCCGTGTGTGTCACGGCAAAGTCGGCCGGCACAAACGACGCTGTACGATGTTTCTACTAGCTCGTGTGTTCGGTAGCGGACATACACAGATTATCGTCGCGGATTGTCGGGTGAGAAAAAAAAAAATCGACGTGGCACCATCGCGCGCGCGTCACGATAATCTAACGTTCGTTCCTCCATCCTCTGCTCCGAGCGCGAGTACCGTCTGCATTTTCCTCCGAGATTTCCACTACCTGCGCTCGTGCATTCTTATTACCGATAAAAATATCGCTTTCCCGCGTGATATTTGCGGCGCGTCATTAATTGATCCATGCAAGACAGGTTATCGGCTGACGGCGAAGCGAATGAGAGCTACTTAATTAAGCACTTAGCCGAGAAGCATTCTCGAATTCCGCTCTAGAAGCAGAATTTTTTTCTACAGTGTGACACACAAAGGCACAATTTCTCTTCCCAACTCCGTAAGCTCGAAGCTAAGCTGGTGCTCTATTCCGAGAGAAGCGAGAGGAGAGAAGAAATTGGCGCGATTAAAGGGAGGTCTGCGGATCCTCTCCTCGAGATCTATTTTCAGCAAGGTAGCGTTCTAATAGACGTAGAATTCACGTCTAACGTCTAACATAGTATAGATATTTGCGTACGAACGAACGAACAAACAAACGAGCGACAAGAGAACGGCGCAATTCGATAAAACACTCACTTTCTTCGGGGTGCTTGACGGTGGAGAAGCAGCCGTCCGCCGACAGGTACAGCAGTAACGCGCCGTTGGCCGGTAGCTCCTTGAAGCCACTCGCGAGGAACACTTGCACCTGGCTGTAGGTCGGCTTGTACAGCAGGTACTTGTGCGGATTGTCGCGTCTCGGCGCGCCATTCTCCGGCCCGGGATACGGTCCGGGTCGGAAGGGCATTCGACCCGCCGGCGAGGCGTCGTGCAGGTGATTCGGGTCGTCCCTGGGCTCCCGCTCGAGTGTCTGCAGCATCCTGAACATGTCCATCGACAACTCACTGAACTTCACCTGATCGGTGCAATTACCGACGATCAGGATCTCCTGGAGAGATAGGCACATGGGTGGCGATCGTTCGACGGGCGGCGAGGTCTGCGGACCGAGCCTGTGGGTCAGCACGATGGGGTTGGAGTCGGAGTGCAGCACGCCGACCGCGGACTCGGCCTTCACGAAGGCCTTGATCTCGTCCAGCACGAGGTTCCACTCGAGCTGATCGTCCGGCTCATACGTGCTGGTGTAGTCGACGATCTGGGTGTCGAGCTCCTGCACGAGCTCCCGCACGAGCTTCATGCGGTTCAGCAACAGGCACACGACGATGAAGCGGGCGTAGTACCTGAGCTTCTTCACCATCAGGTCGCTCCTGTCCTCCTTGGCAGCGCGGCTGTAGTAGGCGCGGCCGCGTATCGCCGCGTAGAACGAGTAGGCCTCGTGCAGGTAATTCGTCTCGCTGGTGCGCAGGTAGTAGTGGTAGTAGAGCTGGCCGATTTTACTCGCGATCTCGCCGATCTGCCACCTCTTGAGGCCGTACTTCGTGTCCAGTATCATTCTGCGAACAGGCGGGGGCGCACGTGAGAGCGCGCACGTGTTTTGCGTACGGCGTATTTACGTACGCTTACGCGCCGAACGCTGTGTATCATTTCGCACGAGATCCTCAATGAACGGGCCGCGCTCTGTCTCGCGGCTAAACGCGATATTTTCTACGCCCGCGCCTAACCTCGTCTCGTGCGTTTCGTACGATTCTTACCACAAATTAATTATATTTAAACTTTTATCCAATTAGTTTTACTCTCGAAATTTCTCAAAGCGAAATTCCACTCGAGACGAGTGAAAATTCGAGTGAAACGTTAATAAAAATACTGACACTCAAAATCGCAAGTCGATGGAATTTTCGTGAATAAATCTCGTGAATGTTTCGTAGAAAACTCTCACGAGTGAAAATTCGAGCGAAACGTTAATAAAAATACTGACACTCAAAATCGCAAGTCGATGGAATTTTCGTGAATAAATCTCGTGAATGTTTCGTAGAAAACTCTCACGAGTGAAAATTCGAGCGAAACGTTAATAAAAATACTGACACTCAAAATCGCAAGTCGATGGAATTTTCGTGAATGAATCTCGTGAATGTTTCGTAGAAAACTCTCACGAATGAAATTCAGAAAGAGATGAATATCCTACACTCCTTTTATAATAAATTATCTGTATTATACAATATAAAGTGGGTGTTTCACTCGATTAGAATGAATTTGTTCCAATGAAGCGATGCAGTATATAGAATTTACGTTTCATTTTCTAATGAAATTATCACTCGACAATCCAGAATGGAGAAATTACTCTACATGAATGAAAAGTCACTCGATTTCGAATGACTCGGTCTAGTGTACTTTCGGAGGAAGTGGAACTTCGCTGGAAGAAATTCAAAGAGGAAGCCACCGACGAAGTAAGCGACACGAGCAATCTGCATCCGCCGACGACGCTTGGAGAAATGCACGGAAGTGAACTGTACGAGTTATTAATCAATGTGTAGAAGCTGGGAAACGAGGTCTTCGATCGTTCTAATTGCATCTCGTGGGATAGGCTGGATACGAGGTCCCGAGCGCGACGCACGAGGGCACGAGGGCACGATGGTCACGTGGGCCTCGTCTCACACAAGGACCTTTATTTCATCATTGGACTTGTCGGAGAGCACGATGACATCCGTGAAACGCGATCGCGAGCCGCGCTGCGACATTCGCGCATAACGTTCGCGTGCCAAGATATCGTACTCCACATCAAGAAGCTGGGAAGGACACCGTACGATATTTTCCGCGATGGTCATAATTTTGCGGCATGCCACTCCGAGCACCTACCAGTTGTCACGCTGAATGTCACAAACCAATTTTAACGAACGATTACTGTCCGGCTTGATCGTGAGAAAGAGAGAAAGTGATCGTGGCCAAACATGGAGGGCGGTCGAGAGATCGACAGAAATCGCTGAATCATACGCGAATCCAAGTGAAATCTAGAACGAGACTCTCTCGCACACAAACTCGCTCGGGAGAGACACCTCGTGCACCGTCGTGGATCCTTAATGATCGGATCCTCGAACTTTTTGAAAGCATCTTTCGATTCCGAAGAAATTGGATGCAAAGAATACCAGGTGTACTTCAAGATGGTATCAGGGAAACCTCGCTACAGAATTATCTCCCCCCTTCCTCTCTTTCTCACCCCCGTAGACACACGCACATACACACACACACACACACACACACGATCTCTCACGCTCACTCTTTCTCTTTTTCCCCCTGACTCTCCCCGTTATCTTTCTCTCTTTCTGTCTCACCTGTGCTGTTGCTGAAACTTCCAGAGCTTCGTGTAAACGTCGAAGGTCCGCCCGAAGTAACCCTGCCACTGCTTGTGGCCGTACTGCGGCAGGTCGCGTAACCCGTTGAACAGCTGCTTGCTCTTCTCGAGCAGGTGGCAGAATTCCATAATGACTTTGCGCTCGTGGTCCTCCATGCCAGCCATCATGACCATCTTTTCGGCGAGTCGAGACCGCGGCCGCTGGCTGGACGCCCTTCTCGACGACACGGTCGCGGCGGTAGCCCCGCGTGATGGCGCCTACCGATTCCGCCACCCTTTTGCACGGCGGCTACGACGACGGCGACCACGGTGACCAATCAATACTCTTTCCCACCCCGCATCAGAGGGCGCATTTCGTGCGCCACCGCCGCTGCCGCCTCCGCCGCCGACACCGACGCCGACGCCAGCTAGACGCAGCGACGTCGACCGGGGACATCTGTGCGAATGGCAGGGTGACTTCGAGATACCTTCGTGAAAATCGATATCTCGGTTCTTGAGGGTAAGACCGATTCCGTGTGCGCTGGAGACCGCGTATCTAACGTGATTATGTAACGTCTGCTGATGTGTGTTTTCATTTATCTACTTTATCTCGGCTTAATCTTGCAGCTAGCTTACGGAGTGTAATATATCAGTACAAAGTATATTAATGTGTCGTAATCCAAATTAACCAGCTTCAGATATCATCTTCGTTCGTCTAACGTAGTTGAAGATCTGTTGGATAGAGTCGCGCAGTGGAAGACTCATTGCTGAGGTCAGACGAACGACGCATTACAGAATTTGAGTTTTTCGACTGTTTAATGTGAGAATTCATTCTGTACCTCTTGTGGAGAAACAAAGTTCTAATGTAAATACCTTAGGTTTAACAATAATTGCATTTGGAGACTTTAAATGCAATTCCAGTACACACGATATTTTATAAAATTTAAAAAAATATTGATGAGATGAATAAAAATTGGATGTGCTGTTAGACAAGAAATTTTAAGCTGTTAAGAACTCGATCTCTGGCTTGTCTGAATTGTCAGTAGATAAAACGGCGTGGAGCTCAAATTATCCCGTCGCTGAAATCGATACATTTCTCACCCACGGTAACTCCAACGCCGTAGGTAACTGATCAAGGTTTGATCTTCGCCCTGTCGGTTTGATTTTACCCTTGTTCCGTTGTCCCGGTTTTGCTGATACCGGGAATAATTACGGCGCTGATACACGCTGGATAACAAGCATAACTAATGGAAGAAATATGATGCGCGAATGCTGCAAGAACCGTGAAGAAGCCAAAGAAGGCTCAAGAGTCGCAGCTGCGCTCTGACAAATGCGGTCAAGCGCCCAATACTTTCCTGTGCAAAAAATGACGCAACAGGAACGTTCAAACGATCGTTTTATTTCCGTCGAACTCATGAAGTCCACCTGAAAATTATCGGTCTCGCGGACACCTCTACCACTGTCCAAACCCCTGAAGACTCGAACATGTCGCTGACTCTCAACACTCACTCAGATTCGGACTTCTAACAAGACCTGTCTGTTCTTTTTTCGTTGTAATTAAAATTTCCAAGCGAAAAGAGAATAACGCCACGTTTGCGGACGGGACACGGCGGTGGCGGCGGCGGTGGCGGCGGCTGCGATGGGGGTGGCGACGGGGGTTGCGAGGGTACGCTCGACACTTTCGTCGCCGCGGCTCGTTACGGCGACGGCAGCTACGGTGAGAGTTTTACCGCCCCGCTGGTCGACTACTGCCGTCGGCGGAGATTAATTAACTAGATAACGGTTGGTGGCTGGGAAAGAGGGCGAGGAGAGGAAGAGAGCGCGCGTGTGAAAGAGAGAAAGAGAGAGAGAATGGACAAAAACAGCGAGAGAAAGAGAGTCAATAGGGAGAGCGAGAGAGAGAGAGAGAGAGAGAGAG